CAAAGGTTCAATTACTTATTGAATAAATTTTAAACCACATGAAATATTATCTTTCTATAGTTCTTGTTAACTATTTATAACATCATTCAATCCAGAATGATGCACAGTTCTAAATGTTAAACTAACTCTTCGACTGCGAACAATTTCCAGTTTATTATCATTTTTGTCATCATCATACCACTCTATAATGTCTTTTGATATAGAATGTTTATAATCATATCTTGAAGATTTTGTCATTATTAACAAAGATCTTGGCGCTAAATAGTTCAAATGAAGTTAATTCATAATGATCATTAAAAATAATAATTATTACAGTAGATAAAATACATACGTAATACTATTAAAAATTGTGATTCAGGATTTTTAGAATGTGTAAATTTCATCAAACACGAAGATAATAATGAAAGGCTTAAAATAATTGGACCAAATATAGTTGCAGCATCAGTGTGTGGCATTATTCCTAAGTTTTGACAAAATAATACATCAAAAACTTATTCTTCAATGAATATATATTGGAAAAAATAATGCTATGAACAGGTATTAAGTTACGATGTTAAAACGGTTAAAATCATACCTTGTCCAGCTTCATACTCGTTAATAATACACATATTTGGTTCGTCATCAAAATCAATAATTTTTTGTTGTTTAAATCTATTAATGATAAAATCTGTAAAAGTTGGTAATGGTCCTAAATTTTGAGCTATTTTCCTATGATGATAATAGAATAATAGGATTTAATGAAAACAGGATATAGTAGATGCAACAATTTAGATTAAATATTACCTGTATCTATAGCTAAATTCATAACCGTAATGTTGTGAGCGTCTTTTCATTTCTGGGTTCGGACTTTATTTTTATTATAAAAAAAAAATAAAATAAAAGTAAAAACTGGTTTAGCTATTTACATAAATATTATTTAGGCTATTTTCTACGCACGCAACACCATTTCCACACCAACTCCTTGAATCGATGGCTCGTATTAATTCTTGTTCTTCGTTCTCCGTAATAAAATCTTCAATGATGTATAGTCCTTCTAATCCTGTGTTTTTTTTTTGCATTTTATTTATTTTTTATTTTATTTTATATATATACTAGATGCTAACCCGTTACTACTCAACGGTGTGTGTTTAGTTTAGTTTAGTTTTATAGTTTATTCAGTCTAGAATTTGGATAAATTTATACAATCAAAATTAACATATCGATATATATTCATCATTTAAAATATTAAACCTTTA